GAATAAGCACTTATGCAGTTAAGTAGCATTGACTAACCTGAAAATAAACCTGCACTTTGAAGACCTTCCCTTTTATTGGTAATGCATTTATTTTCACAACAGATTACATTTACATGGTGTAGAGATGAGTGAAGAACAGCACATGAATGACAGTATTTTCACGTCTATATTTTTGTGTTTTTACGTTGGATTGGATTGCATTCACAGAGTTGAGTTAGAGTGGAGAGAGGTGTCCCTGGGTCCAATAGGAGTCAGTCCTCCATAGCTGGGTGAACGTGTGTGTGTGTGTGTGTGTGTGTGTGGACGGGTATAGATAGTCTGGTGGGGTTGGGGTTTTGTGCAGAGCATCTATGTCCATATTGACACCCTCCTCAGTAACCTCTCTCCCCCATAATAATCTATCTATCTATCTCCTCACATTCAGATTACAGACACATGCAACACCAACACCACCCCATTCCTCCTTCTCATCTCTACCATCTCCTCTCCAACCGGGGATACAATCATTACTTTACAATCAGAGGGGTAATTATAGTACAATCGCGCACCCCTCCTCAAGGGAGACATTGGTTCAGTCTGTTTTGTGAGCCAGATGGAATTCCTAGCCAGGGAATGGAATACATTGGTTCCCATGTTCTGTTCACTTCTTGTCTCTGCTATGACATCATGCCTGTATAGTCCATCACATGACACGTTTCTGTTGCAGTCTGGGGGTCAAAGGTTACTAGGTCGGGTAGAGCAGCTGGATGGTGCTGATTGGTCAGTGGCCTTGTCCGTGATGGTTGGCTTTTCCCATAAGCATGTCCCGTTTCCACATTAACGAGACAGACGTCTTAAAGAGACACGTGTGTGTCCCGTTCTGGAATGCTACTCAGTTTGGCACTGCGATGGGAACAGGGTTACACTCACTGTGCCCAAGAAGTAGAAAACAGGGGGCAGATAAAGGAGACCAAAAACAGTCATTCAATGGCCCTCCTGATATAACTAAGCCAGCACTCAATGGGGATTGGTTCTTTTTCTCAGGTATGTCTAGTGTTGTTCAGTAGTAGTCTAATACTCCATAGAGCTCAGTAGTTATAATACTCCACAAGACTGGGGCGATGCCCGGTGAAGACAGGTGTGGCCTGGCTAAAGTAGGACAGTTTCGCTATGACACAGCAGAGTTCAAAAAGTCAATGGAAAGTTCCATTAGAGACACAAATCACCAGCACCTCATCATGCTGAAGCTTGGACTTCCTCCTCCTCCTCTTCTTCTGCAGATTATTTCACTTTTTATTATTTTGAGCAGACGTCAATTTCCAGTTCCATTCCTCCTTTGGTCTGCCCAGTGGTAATAAGTTAACATGTATGTACATTGTTGGTTACCATGGCTCGTATTGGTTAGGCGTGGTTGTAGGTCATAGTCGGGCGATAGTGTGAATGACAGAGCCAGGGGCTGGGGTTGGGGGTGTGGTCAGCGAGCTGTCTGTCATTGCTGGGGCAGTTCTGAGGGTGGTTTCTTTGTTTTCAGAGTGTCTATGAGAGACTGGACTCCACGCTTCACGCTGGTAGTCACCCGGCGTGTCACTGAGTCGGGTGGCGGGGAGGAGGAGCCAGCTCTCTGGGAGGGGGGGCGGGCCACCAGACACTTCTGGTACCGCAGCTGAGGAGGAGGAAGAGGAGGAAAGTACATCAGAGTCTACCTCTACCACAACCCTAACACTAACCCTACCGTCATGTCCACATCCTGGCTCAACCCTAACCCTAGCTATAACCACAGTCCTAACCCTACCGTCATGTCCACATCCTGGTTTAGATTGTCTGTCTGTCTATGTCTGTCTATGTCTGTCTTTATATATACAGTACGTGTGTGTATAGCTATGTGTGTGAGCTCACCACACAGGCTGCCTGGACGGCCTCAGACACGCTGCCAGCGTTGGGGTCACACCAGAACACGTGGCACTGGAAGTGCTGGTTCCCAGAGTCCATGACGAAGGCGAAGGTGTGGATATCCCGGCCCACGCCCATGAAGGACAGGAAACGCACGCGGCACTCCACCAGCACTTCCTCCTCCTCTTCCTGTCCAGGGGACCAATATAATTGTTAAAGAACACTCAGATATACATTTAGATTTTTTGTCATGATGAGGGAAGAACCAGCGCTCTCCGTCCATGTGGATCACAGGTGAATCTATTGGATAACAAATAAAATCATGAATGGATGCTGTGGTGAAGTCACTAATAATCTGTAGTTAAGTGGAGAAAAGATGCTACGTGCCTTCTCCTTGATGACAGCCACAGTGGCGTCAGCTACACTCAGAGTAACAGGGGTCCAGTCCTCTTTCCCTATGGAGGACACCAAGCTCTCTATAGCCCCGTTGATGATGTCCATACCTGGAGAGAGGGAGAGAGAGGTGAAACCCGAGTTAGTTGGAGAAGGCACGTAGTATGGAGCATGTTTGATGGGACAGGTGCAGGTGAGTAGGCACGGCTGTGTTCGTTGTTTCCTTACTTCTCTTACCTATTGGGCGAGACACAGACGTCATCCCCAGGTAGTGCACATGGAACTTCTGCACCAGCTCAGTCTTTGGCATGGGAAACTCTGTGGGAGAATACACACATCAGACACCAAAGATACACACACACACACACACACACACACACACACACACACACACACACACTGCAGGGAATACACAGTACAAAGCACATCTGAGCAAAGACTCCGGCAAAGAAATGTCCAAACAGGCTTATTAGTCTAAAATGCAAAAATAAACAGATACTTGTGTGAATACTGGAATATTTCAGATGCTGTTGCATCTAATTAAGTAGGCCATATGAACTTCAGAGGGGCTCGGCTGAAAAAAAAAAGATATGTCTATTTACAGGATGGCCTGAGGGGCAGGAGGACTTCCCTCCCTCTAACACAGAGAAGAGGATAAGATGGTTTGAATACCAACTCCCCCGAAAAATAACAGAAAAGGAGTTAGCCTACTTCCTATTACACTCTGCCTGAGGGTCAGGAGAAACGAGGGATGGAATTAAAGGACGGGAGAGACAGTGGAGGGATCTGGCGAGTGGAGTGCACAGACGGTTTGGTCGTGGTAGTGAGTGAGCAATGTTAATCCAATGTGTGCTTTGATCTCTCAATAGGGGTTGCTGAGAGTTAGGGCTTGCTACGCAACACTAATTGGCTTTTAATGAGCTCAGCTGCTCCCGCGAGCTCAAAGCCAATGTAGGACTTTTATTCTATGCATAGAATAAAGGTATTTCCCCCACAGTCAGCAGATCCTGCCTCAAAGCCAAAGTTATGGGATGAATTGTTTTTTTATTATCCATCATGAATTAACTTCGGATGAAAAGGAGGATGGATATGTGTTGCGGCGTAGTGGAATGGAAAATGTGGAATAGCATTAACGCCACGATGTGAGAATGGTTTGGTCCTGTATTATGAGACGTTGTACTGTTGTCAGCATAATTCAGTAAGTGAACACAACACGGCTATCTTTTTCATTAACATGTGTTTGCAGTCAGTTCTGGATTCATAAGGGGTATTTTTTAATTTGCAGTGAAACACACTCATGAAATATAGAGAGGGAGTTAGAGGGATACTTGGGGATTTTGGCAATGAGCTGCGTGCAGTTTGAAGGAAGTTGCTGAGTAGCGCTAGCGCAATTGCTAACTAGCGTTAGTGCAATGACTGTGCTAGCAGATATACTACATGACCAAAAGTATGTGGACTCCTGCTCGTCGAACATCTCATTCCAAAGTCACTGAGCTCTTCAGTAAGGCCATTCTACTGCCAATGTTTGTCTATGGAGATTGCATGTAGCTCAATTGGTAGAGCATGGCGCTTGTAACGGCACGGTAGTGGGTTCGATCCCTGGGACCACCCATACGTAAACATTTATGCACACATGACTGTAAGTCGCTTTGGATAAAAGCGTCTGCTAAATGGCATATTATTATTATTAAATAGCCGAATCCACTCATTTGAAGGGGTGTCCACATACTTATGTATATACAGTGCATTCGGAAAGTATTCAGACCTCTTGACTTTTTCCACATTTTGTTACGTTACAGTCTTATTCTAAAATTGATGAACTATTTTTTTTCTCATCAATCTACACACAATACCCCATAATGACAAAGTGAAAACAGGTTTACAGAAATACCTTATTTACATAAGTATTCAGAACCTTTGCTATGAGACTCGAAATTGAGCTCAGGTGCACCCTGTTTCCATTGATCATCCTTGAGATTTTTCTACAACTTGATTTGAGTCCACCTGTGGTAAATTCAATTGATTGGACATGATTTGGAAAGGCACACACCTGTCTCTATAAGGTCACACAGTTGACAGTGCATGTCAGAGCAAAAACCAAGCCATGAGGTCGAAGGAATTGTCCGTAGAGCTCCGAGACAGGATTGTGTAGAGGCACAGATCTGGGGAAGGGTACCAAAACATTTCTGCAGCATTGCAGGTCCCCAAGAACAGCGGCCTCCATCACTCTTAAATGGAAGAAGTTTGAAACCACCAAGACTCTTCCTAGAGCTGGCCGCCTGGCCAAACTGAGCAATTGGGGGAGAAGGGCCTTGGTCAGGGAGGTGACCAAGAACCCGATGGTCACTCTGACAGAGCTCTAGAGTTCCTCTGTGGAGATGGGAGAACCTTCCAGAAAGACAACCATCTCTGCAGCACTCCAACAATCAGGCCTTTATGGTAGAGTGGCCAGACGGAAGCCATTCCTCAGTAAAAGGTACATGACAGCCCACTTGGAGTTTGCCAAAAGGCACCTAAAGACTCTCAGACCATGAGAAACAAGATTCTCTGCTCTGATGAAACCAAGATTGAACTCTTTGGGCTGAATGCCAAGCGTCACATCTGGAGGAATCCTGGCACCATCCCTACGGTGAAGCATGGTGGCAGCATCATGCTGTGGGGATGTTTTTCAGCGGCAGTGACAGGGAAACTAGTTAGGATCGAGGGAAAGATGAACGGAGCAAAGTACAGAGAGATCCTTGATGAAAACCTGCTCCAGAACGCTCAGGACCTCAGACTGGGGCGAAGGTTCACCTTCCCACAGGACAACGACCCTAAGCACACAGCCAAGACAACGCAGGAGTGGCGTCGGGACAAGTCTCTCAATGTCCTTGAGTGGCCCAGCCAGAGCCCGGACTTGAACCCGATCGAACATCTCTGGAGAGACCTGAAAATAGCTGTGCAGCGATGCTCCCCATCCAACCTGACAGAGCTTGAGAGGATCTGCAGAGAAGAATGGGAGAAACTCCCCAAATACAGGTGTGCCAAGCTTGTAGCGTCATACCCAAGAAGACTTGAGGCTGTAATCACTGCCAAAGGCGCTTCAACAAAGTACTGAGTAAAGGGTCTGAATACTATGTAAATGTGATATTTCTGTTTTTTATTTTTAATAAATTGGCAAAAATGTATCAAAACCTGTTTTTGCTTTGTCATTAAAAAACAATTCCATCCATTTTAGAATAAGCCTGTAACGTAACAAAATGTGGAAAAAGTCAAGGAGTGTGATGATGTCATTGAAAAGCATGCTAGCAGATACCCATAGACTTCCAGTCATTGCGCTAAAGATAGTTAGCATTGGCTCGCAAAACTACCTCTTACTTCCTTCATACTGGACACAGAGACATACAAATAGTATCCACGAGTTCATCTGACTCTGCAGAAGTAGATAAAGGGCCTAATTGCCAAAATCCTGAAGTATCCCTTTGATGCTTAACTCCAATTCCCTAAACAGACAACAGTACTAATGTATGTGTGTGGGTCAACAAACTCCTACCCTGGAGAGGAACATCGGAGCCTGTTTGGGATGAGCTGCCGGCAGCAGCTTTGGCACTCTTCCTCTCAGCCATGATCTAGAGGAGGAGAGGAATGGAGGAGAGCGAGAGCACAAAATAGGAGGGGGAGAGAGGGAGAGTCAGAGACAGGGTAAGAGAGGGTTAAAGAGTGGGGGGGGGGGATAAGGTTGTAAAGTTAAAGAACCTTCAAAGCGTTTAAACTTCAAACTAAGAAGCACAAGTCATTACGTGTTCTTTGAACTAAAATGTAGAAATATTTCCAAAATAAATGAATCTCTTCGTTTTGTCGTCTCCATCTCTTCCTCCTTTCTAACTGACGTAGAGCAGCATCCCTCCTTAACAATAGTGTGGAGGGCACTGCAGTGTGGCGCACTCCCTGCTCCAGATACTTGATTCATTGTAGGTGTCATTAATCAAAGTCTATGGTGAGTCTGCAACTCTCTGCTCACAGGTGAACACACACACGCGCTCAAATACACACACTCGTTGCATTGCACAACAGCAGAGTCCGAGGTCAGTTATTTTCCCCTCTGCAGAACTGCGTTTAAATAGACAATGTGGAGTGAGACACTCATTTACTGACCCACACCCGCAAATGAGTCATTCACTTTGTTTGGGGGCCCGGATTATTCTTTTCATTCTGTCTGGGACTGCTAAACCAACAAATTATTGATTAAGAGCTGAGAAACACTGAGAAAAGACGTGGTGTGTCTTTTCAAAGTGGGTCACCATCTCTCTATCAGACTGTAGATCATACTCACCAGACAAATATTCTTTATTTTGTTGAGTCAATTGTCCTTCTCAAGGTCATGTCTGGTCTAAACCCTGCAGACCCTACCTGAGTTGTCAATGTCTGAAACAGTAGTCAGGGGATTGTTTGGTAGTATGATAAAGGAACAGGACATTCGTGACTGGGACTCAGTTTCATACCTGGGACTCTGTTTGACACCTGGGACTCAGTTTCACACCTGGGTCTCAGTTTGACACCTTTCAGGGCTAGCACCTCCCTAACCCTGAGAGGATTAACACACTCCCACCTCCCCTCACATTCAAAACTGCACACCCGCCCTGGGCCAGATAGTGGTGTTGGTAGGGGTACACATACTGTAAGCAGGACTGCTTCTTTCTATTTATTCGACTTGAATAGGCTAATTCAACGTCAGTAACATTTCACTGTGAATTTAGACTTCTGTAAATAGACAGTGCATTTCCCTGAGAGTGTACTGTCTGTCTGTGTCTACTTCCTCTCTGTCTGGAACCGCAGGCCCACTCACCTTGGAACAGATTTCGTGGAGACTCGTTGCTATAGCTTCTGCAGGGGTATCACATCGAAACACATGGCATTTCAACACCCGCGTGGTTTTGTCTCTCGCCACATAGGCAAAGTCCCTATAGGATACACAGAAGATATCATATGAGATATCAATACCTATATCATATTTACATGCATGTATAAACTGGGTGGTTTGAGCCCTGAATGCTGATTGGCTGACAGCCGTGGTATATCAGACAATATACCATGGGTATGACAAAACTTTTTTTTTACTGCTCTAATTACGTTGGTGACCAATTTATAATAGCAATAAGGCACCTCAAGGGTTTGTGGTATATAGGCCAATATACCACGGCTAAGGGCTGTATCCAGGCACTCCACGTTGCGTCATGCTTAAGAACAGCCCTTAGCCGTGGTATATTGGTCATATACCACACCCCCTCAGGCCTTAATGCTTAAGTATATGGCAGATAATTCAGTCAATTAGTGCCTGTATATTTTACAATTTAATATATTTTTTGAAAGGCATGGGGTAGAATACAGAGGCTTCCACTACTATGAAATCTCTACTCTGAATTAGTAATAGGCCAATATATATATATACCTTGACATGCAATGTATGGTTGAACTATAAATAGAAGCTACTTTGTTTACTTGTGTTTCCATAGATGAACGATGATGAGTGCTTCCCTATCCTTAGTGCACAGTTATTATCATACTGGATTATCATTCACTGCCTCAGGAATATAACTGTGTCTTCTCTAGGGTGCACACACACACACACACGCATAGGGAAAAGGAAATGCCATGCTGAGAACATCAGACAGTTGCCACATGCCAGAGAGAGAGAGGTAGAGAGAGAGAGAGAGAGGTAGAGAGAGAGAGAGAGAGGTAGAGAGAGAGAGAGAAGAGAGAGAGAGAGAGGAGGAGAGAGGGTAGCAGAGAGAGAGAGGTAGGAGAGAGAGAGAGAGTTGGATGGGGATGAAATACAACACCTGTCATACATACACCATCAACAAATAATCATCACAGAGTAGAGAGTAGAGAGGCGAATCTGGAAAACCATGGACAGAAAAACAGAGTGATAAAGGAAGAATGTCAGATAAAGGAGAGAGCACTTGGGAGTGGAACCATGCTGAGGGGCCATGCAGGGTAACTGAGCAGAGCCACAGGTGCAGCTGTGACACACACACACACTCAGCGTTTATCACAGCGGTACGTCTCTGTTTATGAGTCCATTACCAGCCCTGTCTCCCTGCTAAATTGTGTGCTCACACACTTTGGGTGGATAATACTCTGCTCCTGGCCAGCGGAGAGAACGGAAAGGGGAGGGGTGTGTGTATGACTGTGTGAGTAGGTGCGTGTGGACATCTAAGCATTCTGTCACACAAGCTGCAGGACATTTCAGCATTCTGTCACACAAGCTGCAGGACATTTCAGCATTCTGTCACACAAGCTGCAGAGTACAGTGGCCTTGAGTCTATATGACAAATGTCTCATGTTGTGTTTAAAGTCTTTTGAGAGCAGAAACAGAGATGCAGTATTGAGATAATAACAGCCTGTGGTGACTGAGTGAGCGTCAGTCTGAGTACAGTGTTCTATCTAAAGAGAGGAGCTAACTCCCAGGCTGTCTGCTGTCAGTCTGTCTGTCTGTCAGTCTGAGTACTGTGTTTTAAAGAGAGGAGCTAACTCCCAGGCTGTCTGCTGTCTGTCAGTCAGTCAGTCAGTGAATGTGTTCTGTCTAAAGAGAGGAGCTAACGCCCAGGCTGTCTGTCTGTCTGTCTGAGTACAGTGTTCTATCTAAAGAGAGGAGCTAACTCCCAGGCTGTTTGCTGTCAGTCTGTCTGTCTGTCAGTCTGAGTACTGTGTTTTAAAGAGAGGAGCTAACTCCCAGGCTGTCTGCTGTCTGTCAGTCAGTCAGTCAGTGAATGTGTTCTATCTAAAGAGAGGAGCTAACGCCCAGGCTGTCTGTCTGTCTGTCTGAGTAATGTGTTCTATCTAAAGAGAGGAGCTAACTCCCAGGCTGTCAGTCTGTCAGTCAGTCTGAGCACTGTGTTCTATCTAAAGAGAGGAGCTAACTCCCAGTCTGCTGTCTGTCTGTCTGTCTGAGTACTGTGTTCTATCTAAAGAGAGGAGCTAACTTCCAGGCTGTTGTCTGCCTGTCAGCTTGTAGTACTGTGTTCTATCTAAAGAGCAGAGCTAACTCCCAGGCTGTCTGTCTGTCACTCCCCAGGCAGCTGAATAGGCTTGTGACTGCAGGTAAAATGGAGGACTTCACACAATGATTACAGAGAAGACAGAAGGCTATACATGTAGCACACAAACCATTTACCTTTCTCTAGGTCCAGGGAAGCAGAGAGAGAGAGAGAGAGAGAGAGAGAGAGAGAGATAGAGAGCCGCGTAAGATAGATCGAGAGAGAGAGAGATGCGATAGACCAGAGATAGTAGAGTATCTCTCTCGCACAGCGAGATCCCTATCGATACTCTAGCGTCGCTCTCTTCCCTCATCGCTGAGCTATCGCTGCTCTCTGACTCTCTCGCTCTCTCCTCTCTCTATTGCACGATGGGAGAAAAAGACACTGTTAGTACATTGAATATTCTGGGGAGCAGAGTGACTCAGACTTAAGTCTATAGAAGTTGTATCACAGAGGATGCTCTTTGGCCCCAATCAGAAGGTGTCTCCATTCCCTGAGCAGTGTGTGTGTGTGTGTGGAAGCTTCAGCTCTGTCAGCCTCTGTGTACTTTTCATTTCAGCGGCATAGCTTAGTGTTCTGCTCCATTATGACACATCACACCTCTGCTGTTTGACATGCCAACACACTAAACCTATCATTATATGCAACTGAATCTCTCTCTCTGGCACTCAGTTTTTTCTCTTTCATCCTCCATCTATCCATTCCCCCTTTAATCTTCTTTCCCGCTCCTTCATCACTGTACTTTCCACCTCTCTCCCCTACCCCCCTTCCCTCTCTCTCCTACCTCCTCCCTCTCTCTCCTACCTCCTCCCTCTCTCTCCTACCTCCTCCCTCTCTCTCCTACCCCCTCTCTCTCCTACCCCCTCTCTCTATCTCCCCAGTATTAGTAGAAACCAGAGAGATAGACAATATTAGTAGAAACCAGAGAGAGCTAGTGAGATAGGCAGCAGAGAAACAGCTGCTCCCTGGTTCAAACAGGGGTGTACAGACACAGACATCACTACTGGTGTTTCTACCACATCTCCTCACAGCAGGTGGCCAACACACACACAGACACACAGGCAGCACCGGTGCGTGCACACACAAACCTCCATTTAATTTGGTAAAGTGTTGAGGCGACACAGTTGTGAAACCCCATTACAGTTTACAGATACACCTGACTGAAGAACAATCATTTTACCAGTGTCACACTGACCCTATTTGAGTGAGATAACACCCTTCGGTTAGAGAGAGGGGTTTTATCCCTCCCCAGTCAGTCACTATCATTAAGGATCAGTTAGCTGTGACCCCCAGTGACACAGCAGAGATCAGAGAGAGAGAGAGAGAGAGGCATTCAGGTATTGGAGGTCTCACTGAGCTCCCCTGCTGCTTTAATGGATAGGGCCGGGCTGGAGGAACCAGGGAGGAACCAGGTGGGTAGGAGGGAGAGGAATAGAGGCTCTGGAGCAAGGAGAAGGAGAGGGGAGAGGTCCCCTGAGGTAGGAGTAGTATAGCTGGGGGAAGGTGGGAGGATTTGGGTGAAGTTGGGGTGATAGGGGTGTATGGCAAGGGGTAAGAGTAGTAGGTGAGGTGGAGAGTGGGGGGGTAGTAGGATGTGGTGATTAGGATGGAGGTAAGGGTGGAGAGGTGAAGTTTGAATGAATTGAGGAGACCAGGAGGAGGTAGTCAACGGTTACCATAACCATAAACGTGTCATTGTATAATTACGACTATAACTCCCTAACCTGTTGTAACTTTGGCTTACTGTAGTTTCTCTACTGCTCCCTAATCCCTGGTATTATTCACAAGAGCCTGTCTGTCCTCTCCACCATCTGTCACACACACACACACACAAACAGACACACACACACACACTACACGCACCGCACCATTACACACACTTCACACAGACTGCAATTATCAAACAGCTTTACAGACTGTATCCAAAAGTGCCAGCCCCTATGCAAATGTTGTTACATATGCTAATCGTTTATGTAAATGACTGAATAAGTGTTCTGACTGTGACACAGTCATGTACACAAAGGTGTGAGGGTCAGAGGGATGAGGAGAGTTAGTGCATAGACACCTGCTTTCAATCTGGTTTGACTCTGCTTTCAATCTGGTTTGACTCTGGTTTCAATCTAATTTGATTAAGGTTGAGCCCAGTTTCACATTTATTCAGGTTGAGCCCAGTTTCACACCAACTATGGTCCAGTTTTAGTGAATGGACTAACACTGTAGTCTAGCAACAAGAGTGAATAAATCATTGGTCTCTAAATTAGTTATTTGACCCTTTTAACACAGTCCCAATCATGTCCTTTATAGTCAGTATAAAAAGAATACTAAACCACTGTGGAAATATGGCTGAGTGGGTGGAAGTATGTTTTCTCTCCTACAATGTTATCGCCAAAGTCCAAACGCTGTGTGTCTCCCCACAAACTGGAATACCATACTGCATTCTGATGATGTGTTCTCCAATCTACAAGTATGGATTCTGTTGATTTATTCTATTAATAATTAGAATATATTATAGCTAATGGAGGGACCAGCTCATTAGAGAGCATCGCTACACTGCCCCCGCCCCTACAATATATTTCCCACTGATAAAGTATATACTTCACAATATAAAGAGAATACTAAACCACTGCTAGGAACTATAAATATTATATTATGGCAGAAGTTCTGGAATCCAGTATGTGTTGTGGTCATAAAGCATGTATTGTGCATCTCAGTGACAGGCAGAGAGAGCGAGATAGAGGAAAGCCCTGTGCAGTGTGGTGAATTAGTCACAGCCCACAGCCATTAGTGCTAATGTCTGGCCTTAATTACCTCCCTGCACCATCAAGTTGTTTACAGCAGCAATACACATTGTTACACACACCCAAACGAGCTCTCCCTCAACACCCAGGCCAGGGAGGGGGGGGGGGGGGGGGGGGGGCATATACTATACTAAATCACTGGGAGACAACACAAACAGACGCATATACACATACTCACACACACGGCATGAACGGAATGCACGGCACACACACGTACCCGTACTCCATCATCGATACAGCCAGAGGCAGCACAGAACTGGGGCAAAGTTAAGTCGATGTAAAAATAAAAACGTCTATGGTGTATTAAATTGAGTATAGCCCACACCAGTGTATGACTACCGTCTGTAAAGTGGAGAGATGTTTTATGGCCAATGCAGTGGTCTATGCAGCAGAGGGTGTGATAGTAGACTATATCATTTCCTACTGAGAGACACTCAAGAGCTTCCTCACTAAGCCCTACAATTCCTACTGTAAGATATACTCTTCCACATAGAGAATACTAAACCACTGTAGAACTAAATATTCTATGTATGGCAGAAGTTTCTACTGTGAATCTACAGTTCTCTTGTGTCTATACAGCTCCTATTGGCATCTCATGTGACAGGCAAAGAGATCCAGCATAGAGACAAAGCCCTGCTATATGTGAACTTAGTACACAGCCCCACCATTAGATCTAATGCTCTGCCTCTGTAATTACCTCCCTGCACCATAAGCTTGTTTACGAGCACACATCTCCTAGTGACACACATCCCAACGAGATCTCCACTCACACACCTCCACAGTAGAGGGGGGGTGGGATTGCCGCGGTGGGACTACTAAATCTACTGGGAGCAAACTAACATATTCTATATAACTACTACACCTGCACTGTAGAATAACAGCTCCATGTAGGACTACTACACTCCACTACTAAGACTACACATCTCCTACGCAGAGGCAACACAACCACTGACAAAGTCTAAGTCTATGTAAAACTAACGTCATGGTCTACTATAATGAGACTAGCCCACACCACTGTAAGACTACACAATCCTCTGAAAGGACAGCATGTTTTACTGTGCCAATCAATGTCTACTGACAGACACAGGGCTCTCTGATTAGTAGACTATACATGCTTTTCTACATGACTGTAGAGACTACTACATCTTCCTACTGTAGAGACTACTACAGCTTCCTACTACTGTAGAGACTACTACAGCTTCCTACTGTAGAGACTACTACATCTTCCTACCTGTAGAGACTACTACAGCTTCCTCCTACTATAGAGACTACTACAATGCTTCCCTACTTAGAGACTACACACTTCCTACTGTAGAGACTACTACAGCTTCCTCCTACTGTAGAGACTACTACACTTCCTCCTAAGATACTACTTTCCTACGTAGACTACTACAGCTTCCTACTGTAGAGACTACTACAGCTTCCTCCTACTGTAGAGACTACTACAGCTTCCTCCTACTGTAGAGACTACTACAGCTCCTCCTACTGTAGAGACTACTACAGCTTCCTACTGTAGAGACTACTACAACTTCCTCCTACTATAGAGACTACTACAGCTTCCTACTGTAGAGACTACTACATCTTCCTACTGTAGAGACTACTACAGCTTCCTCCTACTGTAGAGACTACTACATCTTCCTACTGTAGAGACTACTACAGCTTCCTCCTACTGTAGAGACTACTACAGCTTCCTCCTACTATAGAGACTACTACAGCTTCCTCCTACTATAGAGACTACTACAGCTTCCTACTGTAGAGCCTACTACAGCTTCCTACTGTAGACTACTACAGCTTCCTCCTACTATAGAGACTACTACATCTTCCTACTGTAGAGACTACTACATCTCCTACTGTAGAGACTACTACAGCTTCCTCCTACTGTAGAGACTACTACATCTTCCTACTGTAGAGACTACTACATATTCCTACTGTAGAGACTACTACAGCTTCCTCCTACTGTAGAGACTACTACAGCTTCCTCTTACTGTAGAGCAGGGTTCTTCAATTCTGGTCCTGGAGGGCCAAAACACCTCTGTTTTTCATCCTCTCCTTCTAATCAGGGGCTAATTCAGACCTGGGACACCAAGTGAGTGCAATTAACTACCAGGTAGAAATAAAAAACAGAAGTGTTTCGGCCCTCCAGGACCGGAATTGAAGAACCCTGCTGTAGAGACTACTACAGCTTCCTTCTACTGTAGACTACTACAGCTTCCTCCTACTGTAGACTACTACAGCTTCCTCCTAGTGTAGAGACTACTACAGTGCTACAGAGCTCTACATCATGCTGTACTACCTACAACCCCTGAGATCCAGGTCAACCCAACCACAGCATAAAACAACAATTGCAGTTCTGTCTGCACTCTAAAGTGCTATGTGCCATAACAGGTTGTACAGTCGTGGTCAAAAGGTTTGAGAATGACACAAGTATTGGTCTTCACAAAGTTCGCTGCTTCAGTGTTTTTAGATATTTTTGTCAGACGTTACTATGGTATACTGAATTATAATTACAAGCATTCCATAAGTGTCAAAGGCTTTTATTGACAATTACATTAAGTTTATGCAAAGAGTCAATATTTGCAGTGTTGACCCTTCTTTTTCAAGACCTCTGCAATCCGCCCTGGCATGCTGTCAATTAACTTCTGGGCCACATCCTGACTGATGGCAGCCCATTCTTGCATAATCAATGCTTGGAGTTTGTCAGAATTTGTGGGTTTTTGTTTGTCCACCCGCCTCTTGAGGATTGACCACAAGTTCTCAATGGGATTAAGGTCTGGGGAGTTTCCTGGCCATGGACCCAAAATGTCGATGTTTTGTTCCCCGAGCCACTTAGTTATCACTTTTGCCTTATGGCAAGGTGCTCCATCATGCTGGAAAAGGCATTGTTCGTCACCAAACTGTTGTTGGATGGTTGGGAGAAGTTGCTCTCGGAGGATGTGTTGGTACCATTCTTTATTCATGGCTGTGTTCTTAGGCAAAATTGTGAGTGAGCCCACTCCCTTGGCTGAGAAGTAACCCCACACATGAATGGTCTCAGGATTCTTTACTGTTGGCATGAAACAGGACTGATGGTAGCGCTCACCTTGTCTTCTCCGGACAAGCTTTTTTCCGGATGCCCCAAACAATCGGAAAGGGGATTCAGTAGAGAAAATGACTTTACCCCAGTCCTCAGCAGTCCAATCCCTGTACCTTTTGCAGAATATCAGTCTGTTCCTGATGTTTTTCCTGGAGAGAAGTGGCTTCCTCGCTGCCCTTATTGACACTAAGCCATCCTCCAAAAGTCTTTGCCTCACTGTGTGTGCAGATGCACTCACACCTGCCTGCTGCCATTCCTGAGCAAGCTCTGCACTGGTGGTGCCCCGATCCCCTGGCTGAATCAACTTTAGGAGACGGTCCTGGCGCTTGCTGGACTTTCTTGGGCGCCCTGAAGCCTTCTTCACAACAATTGAACCTCTCTCCTTGAAGTTCTTGATGATCCGATAAATGGTTGATTTAGGTGCAATCTTACTAGCAGCAATATCCTTGCCTGTGAAGCCCTTTTTGTGCAAAGCAATGATGACGGCACGTGTTTGGTTAACAGAGGCAAAACAATTATTTCAAGCACCACCCTCCTTTTAAAGCTTCCAGTCTGTTATTCTAACTCAATCAGCATGACAGAGTGATCTCCAGCCTTGTCCTCGTCAACACTCTCACCTGTGTTAACGAGAGAATCACTGACATGATGTCAGCTGGTCCTTTTGTGGCAGGGCTGAAATGCAGTGGAAATGTTTTTTGGGATTAAGTTCATTTTCATGGCAAAGAGGGACTTTGCAATTAATTGCAATTCATCTGATCACTCTTCATAACATTCTGGAGTATATGCAAATTGCCATCATAAAAAATGAGGCAGCAGACTTGGTGAAAATATTTGTGTCATTCTCAAAACTTTTGACCACGACTGTATATACAGAGAGTGGACAGACTGAACATATTCAGCATTGTGAATGTAAAGCCAGTCTGTCTAAGGGGTGAACTTACTCACTGGGCATTGCTGTGAGGAGTAGGTAGGTAGAGATGTATTGGTTGCTGGGGAGGGAGGGAGGGATGGAGGGAGGGACAGAGAGAGGAATATATAGGAGGAACAGGGGCTGTAATCTGGGATTAGAGCAGGTGTGCCTAACCATGTTAATGAGAGAGAGAGAGAGAGAGAGAGAGAGAGAGAGAGAGAGAGAGAGAGAGAGAGGGCGATATGAGGGAAAGGGCGGTGAAGTGGGAGGGGCCAGGGGACAGGAGAAGAGAAGGGGGACAGGAGAAGAGAAGGGGGACAGGGGACAGGAGAAGAGAAGGGGGACAGGGGACAGGAGAAGAGAAGGGGGACAGGGGACAGGAAGGGGGACAGGGGACAGGAGAAGAGAAGGGGTCAGGGGACAGGAGAAGAGAAGGGGTCAGGGGACAGGAGAAGAGTAAGGGGTCAGGGGACAGGAGAAGAGAAGGGGTCAGGGGACAGGAGAAGAGAAGGGGGACAGGGGACAGGAGAAGAGAAGGGGACAGGGGACGGAGAAGAAGAAGGGGTCAGGGGACAGGAGAAGAGAAGGGGGACAGGGGACAGGAGAAGAGAAGGGGTCAGGGGACAGGAGAAGAGAAGGGGTCAGGGGACAGGAGAAGAGAAGGGGGACAGGTTACAGGAGAATAGAAGGGGACAGGGGACAGGAGAAGAGAAGGGGGAGAGAGATGGAAGGAAGAAGAGAGAGAGAAAATGAAGGAGAGTAACTGTTGTATGGATGGATAGATAGTGTGTGTGAGTGATGATTCCAGGGTGGAGAGCGAGTGTCCTTCCCATAATGAGTCTTTAGAGAAAAATGGTTCTGAGCGGACAGACAGACGAATTGTGGGAAGATGGAGTGAGCTATAGTATAAGAGTGATGACTCGTGGGTAAAGAGAGACATTGTAATGGGCCCTGATCAGACCAGGAGTGGGAAGGAAAAGGCATCAATCACTCTGGCATTTATTGAGTGGGCCTGGGTGTTCCACCATCGTCCCTGTGGACTGTTTAAAGCACACGCATGTTAATTAAGGTAAGGGGACGTGAGCAGCCAATGAGCTATGGCCAATTGGGACATCAGCGCAGGTACAAGGGCTGCTGGGAAATGGGGGTGACATAACTGCCATTACATCACTGTGGCAGAGACACACACAAGCGCTAAACTATGCATATATACGCATGCCCCCACCAATACACACACGTACTGTACAT